TACAAAAAATTTTCAACAATAGAAGAAGCTAACGAAGAATTTGAAAGATACCAATCAAGAATTAAAAGAAAGAAAGACAAATTAAATTCTAATGATAAAATAGTTATCTATACAGATGGTTCTCACAAAGACAATCAAAAAGGATTATATGCTGGTATTGGAGTTTATTATGAAGATGGAACTAAAAAAATTACCGAACCTTTACCTGGAGATTTACAAACTAATAATCATGCAGAATTGTATGCAGTGATTCGCGTGTTAGAAACATGTGAAGATCAACTTAAAGTAATTGAGATTAAAACAGATAGTCGTTTTGTTGTTAATTCTCTCTAAACATGGATTCATAAATAGAAAAGGAATGGATAGAAAACACTTAAAAATCAGGACGTTAAAAACAAAGATTTGTTCGAGAAGATCGATTTTTTACTAACCAAAAGACCTGGGAAAGTGTATTTTACACATGTTTTCGCACATAGAGGCGTAATCGGAAATGAGTTGGCAGACAAATTAGCTAAACGTGAAGCTTCTATTAAAATAAACGAGAGTAAAAAATTATCTCCATATAATGCATTTATGAAAACAAATCTACCTATTGTTAAAAAAACTAAACCAGATTTAGAACATAAAGATGCATTTAAATTAGTTGTATCAATGTGGAACGAAACAAAAAAACAACTCAAATAGTTTATTATTAATGTATTTTTTTTTTTTTAATAAATATTATTGAAACTAAATTAAACTAAATTTGTTTCTGAGATATGACAAAAATGAGATTTTGATTAAAAACAATTACAACTTGCTTGTAATTGTTTATTATCAAAATCGAGGCGTTTGTTATATCAAAGAAACAACTGATGAAAAATAAAGTTGGTTCTTCTCTGAAGAACGAAAAAAGTGCAGAGTATCGTTCAGAGATAAAAATAAAGAGGGTTATCACAATTTTTCAAGCTGGAACCTGAAAAATTGTTACTTTAATCAGTTTAAAACCGATTAGATTTTTCTTTATGTAATTTTGTTTTCAAAAATGTCTCAATCACCAAATAATTCAGATACTCAAGATTCAACTAACAAAGATGTTGGTTGTTCTAAGTAAAAAAGAACAATTTTGGTGGTTCAGAAGAGAGAATGAAAACACAAATTATCGAAGACCGTTCATGTTTACTGATGACGAAGAACACATAACTGAATATATTCAAATCAAGTTAAGTGATAAGCAAAATGCTCTTCTTGATAAAGAACGTCGAGACTTTTTGAAGCAACATAAGTTTATTCTTGATAAGGCTAGTAATATCATCAAAGAAACCACTAAAGAATATTTACTCGAATTACTTTATGAAGTTAAATTAGCAAATATTAAATTTAAGAATGGTTATTCATTTGATTTACGCATTTGTAATATTGAAATTGCTTAAATTTAATTTATTTTATTAATAAATTATCATTCAAAAAAAAACTAAAAAAAAAACAAAAAAATAAAATTTAAATATTATCATAAGAACAGAGTAAACAATTTTTTACTAATCAGTTTTCAAACCGATTAGATTTTTTTTATATTTAAATTAAAAATATTTTCCCCAGAAATATTTCTTAATATACTAAATTTTTATGAATTTACAAATTTTGAGGAAGTTAAAGCTATATTACTAGTTAATAAAATGTTTTATAATCTCACAAAAAGCATTTTATTAAATATAACTTTAAAACGAACTAACAATAAATATAAATTAGAAATTAATAAACAAAACAAAGA